CTGCAAAAAAAATGCTGCCCATCCAAGCCTTTATTTGAGAAAGCAGGAGAACAGCTCCACACAGGTTGACTTTTTGAAACTTTCGGTGTATTCAAGAAAAGAAGTCGCTACCTGTTTTGTGAATGAAGAAACAGAGCTGGACACTGGAAGAAGTTTCTAGGTATCTCGTGGTATACATAAGACAGAGCAGGGTAGTTCTGAATTACAGTGAAAGAATAAAAACAAAAACATGTCCAACAACATTCAGGATGCATAAACAGAAAACATTTAAAAAGAAGAAAGTCAGCCGGGTGAGGTGGCTCACCCCTGTAATCCCAGCACTCTAGGAGGCTGAAGTGGGAGGATCACGAGGTCAGGAGTTAGAGACCAGACTGACCAACATGGTGAAACCCCGTCTCTACTAAAAATACAAAAAAAATTAGCTGGGCATGGTGGCACATGCTGTAATCCCAGCTACTCAGGAGGCTGAAGCAGGAGAATTGCATGAACCTGGGAGGCAGAGGTTGCAGCGAGCCATGATGGTGCCACTACACTCCAGCTTGGGCGACAGAGTGAGACTTTGTCTCAAAAAAACAAACAAACAAAAAAATGAAAGTTATCATTTACAACTTAGCAAACTCAGTATATTTTTACATGATAAGTTTGTAAAGTATTGTACGGGGATTTTCAGTCTTTTTCATAAGTTTGGTTAACAACTTCAAGATTTTATCACCGATGGCATCTGAATCCTAAAAAGTCAAAATTCTCTAAACCAGGAAGGTTTGTGGCAGATAAAGTTTTAAACTTCTGAAGAACTGTCAAACTTGTCAAAAGTATCCTAGAAATATCATTAAGATTCTACCTGGACTTTCCAAGCTACTTCATAGCAATGCTTTATGTTCTAAAAAGTAATAAAATAGCACATGATTATGACACAGCATAAAATTACAATCACTGAAGTATTCCATAATTATAATAAAACTGTTTTTAATTTAGTCTACACTCGTGACATGTTAAGGAAAAAATGTATACCTTGGAAAATGGTTAGCAATCCTGCCACAGAAAGCAACGGATCATTCTTAATCAAGTTTCAAACACACTCCTTCACACAGCTGCACACACAACGTGTACTAACCCAATTGTTAGTTGCACCTGCTCCAAGTTAGCAGTATTTCATACAGCTCATGGCAATAATGGCATTTTCAAGTGTTAATCTGTGGAGTATAAATCTAAACTTTCTTTCAACAGTTTATTACATGTTTTGTGCCACCCAGGGGTCTAATGTACAAAATAGGTGATTTTGAGTTTCCTTACTTGAAAACAAATCTGTCTTTTCAGTCTAAATTAAGTTATATTCTTCCACATTTTAACAATAATTTTTCACACTGAGAGATATTAGAATAATTTTTTCAACACTTATATAAAGTACTCTGTTTAATCAAACACTGGGGGGAAAATGCGAAAACATTTACAACCTGTTGAAGGTTAGTAAATAAGAAGTTAAATACTTCTTGTCCTATACCACTACAGCCAAAACTGCAAATTCCGTGATGATTTTTGCTACTATCTGAAATCTTCAGTTTCTGAGTATTAAGGACAGCAATGATAAAAAGAAAATTACCTTCTTGAGATTATGAGCTTAAGCTCTGGATTCTGCACATGGAATAAATCTGTTTCCAGAGATCATACTCCTTTATGTAGGAATTACCCTAATATCTGAAGTTGGCATGACCATACAACTCAAAGATTTTAATTTATGATATATATGAAAACAATTTTTCACAAAATGGAAGTTTTGTATTGAATCTCTGTGGCATGGAATTCTAGTTTCTTGTTTTATAAACACATTTCCTGATTTCTGAAAAGAGTACACATTTCTCTATACTTGTACTCTGCCAAGCATTAAATTAAATGTATATTTAACTAATTTAAAGCACAGATCTAGATTTCTGAACAACAAATTTCTCTGGAGCATTTGTCTCTTTCCCTCAGTTGTTAAATGGTCAAAACACCATGTCTGCTCTGGTAATAACCTAGTAAATGAGGTCACCGTATCCACAATACCAAAAGCCACCTCATTCTCTCCTAAGATTAGCTGCAGATTGGTAGAGATGTAAACATCCCCTTAAGTTTATTCAAAACATAAATACTCTGCATAGAGGACTAGAGATTAATGTTTCCAGAACCTTAATAAAGTCACGTAATAAAGAAACTGAATGAAGTTTCTAACTTAGACTCTCTTTGGCCTCAATTGATTTTAATAAATCTAAGATTTTCTTGTACAGTTACCAAAAAAAGATGCCCAAATGTTACAAGAACACACACTAAACACTTAAAAAGTAAACAAAACTGGGTAAACTTTTATTTTAGTCGATAGTACATGAGTCATAACTTAGTCTAGAAACCTGGTTTATTTGTAAAACAATCTACTCATAATGGCACAAAGACATAAAAAGTTTTAAAAAATCTATTGAGAGCAAAAGGAAAACATATACAACCACCTATATTTTAGTGCAGGGCTTTTCAACCATTAATTTGCAAAAGAATTTTTTAAAATCAAATACTGTACTTCCAAAAAGCAGCAATTACCCAGGAATCTCTGAGGTCTTTTGAGGTGTGATCATTTCACCCTATTAAAACAATTGGATTTTCTTTGTCCTTTGCTTTTTGTTCTGCATCTGCATTAACATGGCTGCTAATTATATTAGCCTGGTGGCACATAAAGTCTGAATGGGAAAAATCACATGATTTTCATAGAACATAAAACTCCTTAGGATCCCAATGTACACTTGCTTAGATTGTGCTCTTCTGTATTACAGCTGTCTATTCTGTTAGGGAACTTAACTATGGTTCAGAATTTCTGTTTCATAAGTAATGGTGCAACTCTCCAAGACACCATTGTATCTATGGATGCATGCATGTACTCAACAGCATGTGTCCATACTGTGAGCACACAAAAACACAAAGGCACCTTTAGCCTTATCATTCTACTTTGAATATTCCCTATTGGTATATTTATGTTTTTCTGAAATTAAGTTATTGAGGAGTTTGTATTCATCACACAAAATGTCACACAGATCTAGTGCACATATTTGCCATACGAAAGCCCTATTATATTAAATGATTAGAAGTTAAATCGCATTTTTCAAATTTTAAATTGAAAGCATAAGAATGATCTACACACCCACTCATTCTCACAGTTTTATGCTTTCACACAGTGAATCAGCAAATGTATTCTTTTCTGAATAATATATAAAAATAAAAATGTTTTGAAAACCTTTATGCAGTTTGGCGTACTTGGCTTAATGGGTTGTTTCACAAAGTAAACTCCCTCATTGTTCTGGTTAGCTTTATGATTAAGAGTAAAAACCCTTTATTTCAAAACTTACATGAATCTGTGGTACAGAAAAATAAACTAGTTTACACATCACTGAGAAACTACTACATTCTGAAAATTATATTTATATTTCCATCTCCTTTTTCTTACAAACAAGTACATAAGTGCCTAATTCACAGATCAAAATAGACACCTTCAGGTAACTTCCATGCGAAAGAAAAACATCCGGAGACAATACACAACAAAAAGCACTAGTTCAGCTAAATATTAAACAAAGCAACAATAACTAACACTCATGGGCTTCACAACAACTGATAAACAAGAACACTTAAGGAATTCCTCTGTCAGTTTCAATGGCAAATCCTTGCTCTTTCGAATACTTTACTGATTGGGCACTCAAACATCTTCTGCCTTGTAGTCACTTCAACCTTTATGAAACAATTGTTGAAAATGTAGATGGCTATTTCAGTTAATTTACACTTTCTAAGGAAAGCTATTTAATGACAAGGGGAGCAAGTACCTCCTACCTCAAATTAACCACTTACTGTGGTATATTTTTCACCTCTCAACTCTCTCCTTAAACCCTCCTTCCATTGCCCTTAGGAAATTGAAATTCAGAGACATGACGTTTTTCATTACTGGTTCCTTGCCTCTTTGCAACTGTATAACATTCCTCAAAAAGTACATATAATTCTCCATCCTATGGGATCAGACAACAATATCTATTTCAGGAGCAATAATATGCATAATGAAAGACAGAATATTTTTTCTTGGAATTGTCTGTGATAATTGTGGTTTAAAGCTTACTGTTTCCGTCTATAACAATGGTGTTGCTGAGTTCATCTAAGTATTTCTGTTCAATCTGCATACTTTAAAAACTCAATGTGACTTCTAAATTAGACTGTTGTAAGGATACCATCTGCCGTAAATAGTGGTTTTTTTTTTTTAGAGCATTATACTTAAAGACAACATTTTCTTCAAAAAAAAGAAAAAAACTCATGTCTATAAAGAAACAATGATATTGTAAAATTAGTATAGAGAAGAAAAGTCCAAAATTCCATATCTCTCTGTTTAACACCTGTACAGTAAATCGTAGGTGACAATCACGTTGTTACATTAATAGGACTGCAAAGCATAAAGAACAAGAGCTACATCTTGCTTTGCCTAAAGAAATTAAAGACAAGTTTAACCCGCACCTGCCAAACTGTCTAAAAGGGACAGAAATAGATGGGAGCGGAAAGGCTCACCTCTCCTGTACCCCAGAGTGCGTCTCCCTGAAATCATTTTAAATATAAGCAATATATCTCTCACCTATTTTTTTCTTCCATTCTAGTCAATGGCAGACCCTTTACTGCACTCCCCTGCCCACTATCTCAAAGACACATTACAGAATAAGGGGACTCAAGTGTCACTTACCAGTTGCATGCCACAGATAAAGATAAGCGTGCACCTGCCACTGCAATAACCCATGGTTTCCGAGACCCCTGCCACAGACAGACTGTCCCACGTCGGCCACCGTCGAGCCCCCACTTTATCCAATCAGATCGCGGGGAAGGACAGGCAAACCTGCCGAGGGCTCGGGGGCTCCGGGCTGCTGCTGCCAGCGTCCTGGGAAGTGACAGGCATTAGGACCTGCTGGCGCGGCGGCGGCGGCGGCAGCTCCAGCCGCGCCCGCCCCACATACCTTCACTCGCTCGGTGCACACGCCGCGCCGCGGGCAGCGCCGCCTGCGGAGACGCGTCCGGGGCCCGCAGGGGCAGCAGCGGCAGCCTGGCAGCGCCGCCGCGCCCTCGGGCATCTGGCCCCCGAAGTTTCGCCTCCGCCGCTCCCCGCGCCGCTCGCCTCACGCCCCCCAGCGCGGCCGCCGCCCGACGCGCGCTCGCCTGGAGCTCTCCGCGCGCAAGCTCCGGGGGCGGCAGAAGCGCGCGCGGGCCGCTGCCCGCCTCTCTGCGCAGCCCGCGGCTCCTTTGCGCCCTGCGTTGCCGGGCCCGGCGGGCGGGGGCGGGGCGGGGCGCTGGGCGCGGGCCGGGTGGGGGCGTCCGGGCTCCGCGGTCCGCGGCGGCGGCGGCGGCTGCTGCGCGCAGTGATGCGGGTCTCTGCCGCGTCCCAGCAGCGGCGCTGCCCCTCCCCTCGCCCAGATCTGTGAATCCTCCTCCTTCAACAAATCCTTCAACCTGCTCCCCGCCGCCCCTTCCAAGGGGGCCAACTTCGAGGACGGCTGGGGCTGCGTCCAGGAGGAAAGGAGCGGCGCGAAGGCTGGGGCCGGGGCCTCGGGGCGAGGAGACCGGGCGGCATGACCGCGGCGTGCTGGGCTGAAGTCGGTCCTGCAGTGGGAGCCTAGCAGGGCACTCCGCGGGAGCGAACCGAGTGCGTGTGCGCGTTCGCGGGTGAAGGGACGAAGAGGAGGGCTGGGGAGGGAGGCCGGGGTCTTGGAATAGGGGTGCAGCCGAGGCATCTAGAGCGGCCGGAAAGCCCGGGTGGCGGAGAGGCCAGAGGTGGCGAGGAGAAGGGGTGCGGCGGCCCCGGACGCACTGCCCGCCGCCTGGCACCCGGCTCCCGCGGATCTGAAGGGCCGGAGCGCGAAGAGCTTTGGAGCGGACCCTGCTTGGGGAAGGGGACCAAGTTGCTGCTGGAGTTGGGAAAATTTAGCAACCGGAGCAAATAGGGATGCGATGAGTGGCTGTTGCTGCCTCAAACTGTTGTTTGTTTTCACTTAAAATATTAAGAGTCGGAGATCATTTTAATACTCAGTTGCTTCAGCCTCACAGACCTTCCGGCTGGGTGTGGATTCCTAGTGGAGAAGCTCGAGCCGCCTCTGAGCACTGGTTGCTACCTGCAGAGACGGGCTTCGGAGCCCGCTGCTGCCACCTGCGGGCTGAAAGCTGAAGGGCGCAACGTGCTGGCCCAGGTGGCTGCCCCTGAGGCGTGGCTATTTAGGACTTAGTTTCCTTTATAGCCCTGGTCAGCTAGTGAAAGCAATCCTAACTTTTCCAGGAAGTGGAGATTATTTGTTGAGATCCACTGAGGAACTGACTCATTGGGGAAAAGTGCCATGATTGATAAGAGAATGGTTTAGGGAGCTAAATAGCAACCGACTCCCTAGCACCCTTCTTAAGAGATTAAAACGGCGAAACCACATGGAGCAGAGAGCTCTGTAGCAAGTGGAACTTGGTGCCTACTGAGAAAAAATGGCATTTGTAAAGGATAAAGTTACGCAGGGAACCACAAATAAGGATCCCGAATGAAATGATTGTTTCCTTTGAATAAATATTATGACGTATCAGAATGACTAAATACAAAGAAATTGAATAAGGCAGAGAGACTTTATTCTCCGGAAGCCTGGCACTGAGTGTTCAGAAACGATTTGTCAGTCCTAGAGAGCCAAAAAGGGATTAACTGTTAAATTTATGGAGCACAGATATTTTATTGCTATAATGAGAACGTCTGCTTTTAATCGCCCCATTTGTAAAGGGACTTTTCTTCTGAAAAATGCTTTTCAGTGTTTAATAAAATTCTCAAGAGCCCAATATGTACTCTTAGGCACTGCAAGACCTCAAAGTAATAACTGCCTCACAACCTTTGGTAAAACTGAAGCCTTGTTCTTATTCTGTCTTTATGCACATTAGCTGTCCTGTACCTACTAGGGTTACAGGTATTTTGCATTACCAAACAGAAAGCTGTAAGTTAGTTGACTATTCAAGAAGCTGCTGCCATATTGTCAAAAGCATTTCATTACTTTCTTAAATTTGTCATAGGAACAACACATTGATGTGGATCCCTCCATAATTCTGCAGAGGTTTTGCTGCAACTGGCAATAGCCTAAGTAATCTTTAGGTTGTATAGGAAAGCAGAATGCTATCTGTAGCTGACTCTGGCAGTGCCTCATCATAGTTCTTGGAGTATGCCCTTTCTGTCCATGCTCACCTTTTTGCAATCACTTGGGACAGTTTGTTTTCTAGCCTTAGGAATTGCTTGGCTGAACAATAAGGTTCCAGCCCTAAGAGCTACCCTCACCCAAGAATGAATGGGAGTTGGTGGAAAGTACCCCAACTTCTTCAATTCACAGATGGGAAACCCTCAGACATATTCTAGTCTACACCATTAAAGGTCCCCACTGGGGTTGAGCCCTAGGTGCCTACAGTAGTAACTGGCTCATTCATGCACTCTGAATTGCCTTCCTTCCCTTCCATGCCTCTTCTCCTTAGTTTTGTACCACTACTTCCTGAAATCATCTCTGAAATAAACCACTTCACGCAAATCCTTGTATCAGAGACTGCCTCTTGAGAATCCCAACCTAAGGCATTCTCCAGGGGCTTTGATACCTCATCTGACATCACTGGCACAGTATTCTCAGAAGTGTGAACTACAATGTTGAGCATTTCCTATGTGCAACTACTGCCTTATATATGAAACCTACATCTTTTCGTTCATTTATCACAGGAAACCTGTGAGCTGATATAATGCACATTCTAAAGATATGCAAACTAAGAGAGAAATCAAATATTTTTATGACAGATGCACATGTTCTTGGCAGCAGAATTAGAATTTGAAGGGCACGACTATGAGACACTAAAAATCACTTTTCAAACCACTGTACCATGCTCCGTTATTTTAATATGCATTCCCTGTCATTCTTTTGGAGTTTTATACAAAAGTGATGACAAAAATATTTTGAAGAATAATCACATGTATTTGATCTGTAAATTAAACTGGCATCACATCCTTTACATACAGTATAGGCAATGCCTGACTTATGAAAGGGCACTCTAGTTATGGATGCAATTCCATAACTTAATGTGGCTACGCACTTCGTATTTTGTTTTCTATTATTCCTGGACTGAGTGTCTTAGTAGAAGAGACTAAAAAGAGAATCCCAACAGTTCTAGAGATGTACATGAAGGAGAGAGATGTCTCCAATTTGAATGTTGATTGCATTTTCACTTAGAAATAAGGTCATAAACTGTTTAGTTATATAAGGTGTCATACCTTTTGTTGACTAATATCTGACATAATATTGTGAATTGCCTTGTTTCTATGGGGAAAATGTGCTGCATATTCCACACCTCCATCTGCCTCACCTTGCTATGCTGTTTTAAAGTACTTTTCAAGGTTGTTTCAGATCTATTATCTCATTTATCTCTCAGAACAACTCATGCAATGCAGTAGGCACACAGCCACTGAGTGGAGTTCCAGACTGCTAACACTCAATCACTTCAGCTACACCACAAGCTCAAGCTTGGCTTTACAACTCTGCTGAGCAATTTAACTGCATTTTATTGTCTCCATTCATTAATTTAAAAGCATAAAAGCAACAATTAGTTCTTTTGAAAATTTTTGTGGGTACATTGTAAATGTATATATTTATGGGGTACAGGAGACATTTTGATACAGACATAGGATATAAAATAATCATATCTTTACAGTCACAAAACTGACATTTGATTCATTGTATATATTACATATTTCATATTAGCATAGATTTTTTTCTTGCTTGGATAATGATTAGGAAAATCATATATTTTAAATATGAATGGCATATAAGAAGAAAACTACAAATCCATCCATCCAGAGGTAATGTCATTTTTATACAAACCATTTTCTAACAAAAACAGGGTGATATCATGCACAACATATTTTAACCTGCTTTTTTTTTTTAATTTAACAATTGACCAAAAACATGTATCCAAATTATTAAGTCCATGGACTCTGCAGCCAGACATTTAGTTTCATAATCGAAGCCCTGCCATTTATCAACTATGTTGTCTTAGGCAAATCACTTAGCTCTTTGTGCTTTGTTTTCTTCTTTATAAAATAGGAGGGGTAATCACGTATATCATAAAGTTTTTGGGAGAATTAAGTAAATGTCAACTAAGTAAAACTTTTAGAACAATGCTGTATTAGGGCTCAACAGGGAGAGAACTAATGGAATACATGTATTATATATATTTTATATATTGGAGCTTATATATATGTGTTATGTATATTATATATATATGGGAGTCTATTAAGTATGAATTCACATGATCACAAGGTCACAAGGTCCCACGATAGGCTGTCAGCAAGCTGAGGAGCAAAGAGAGCTGGTCCAAGTCCCAAAACTGAAGAACCTGGAGTCCAACGTTCAAGGGCAGGAAGCATTCAGCATGGGAGAGGGATGTAGCCTGAGAGGTTAGACCAGTCTCTCCTTTCACATTTTTCTGTCTGCTTATATTCTAGCCCTGCTGGCAGCTGATTAGATTGTGCCCACCCAGATTAAGTGTGAGTCTGTGTCGGGGTCACCACCTGTGGGGGTCTGTCCTGCAGACCCTGACTCAGTGACAGATGAATAAAATACACTGACACTTGGATATTATGTTTTGCCAATTCTACTAAGTGTGTCCAAGTGGCTTATAGGCACGCTGGAGAGTGTTGTAAACAGTTGGGATCACTGGTCTTCACACGCTGGCCTCTTCGGCCTTTATTCAATATACATTAAATGACAAAAACTTTGAGTCAACACCACTAGAGGTTAAATATTAAAGGGCAGGTTCCAATGCCCAAAGCAAACACCATTAGTGGGTAATATCCTTGGTCAACCTCCGCCTGAGAGGGTCATTTGGCTCAAAGGTTGGTTTTAAAACCACATGAGTAAATAAGCTAGCTAGGTAAACTACTCACATTCCTTTGTATTTGTGCCCTAATCTCTCTGGCTCCTGCAAAGAGACTCTGGCTGCCTTCAGTCAAAAACCATAGAAAAAACCCTTAGGCCTTCCAAAAGGGTTTGATGCTGTCTTCTATAACATTCTCTAATATTTTTCTCTTAGTATTTTTGCCACCACCCTAAGTGAATCCCCATAGGTCTGCTTTTCCCAGCCCACTGACTAAATTGTTAATCTCCTTTGGTGACACCCTCACAGACACACCTGGGATCAATAATTTGTATCCTTCGATCCAATTGAGTTGACACTCATTAGTAACCATCACAAGTCTACCCCTTGTCAACTTGA